ATATATAAAGGGTAGAGCCCTGGTACTACAATAATTTATTTTGCCAGACTCCGTTCCCATCGAGCCTCAGCTTTTCTTGACCCACCTTTTAAAACATCTGGGCTGGTATAACACCGTTCTCCTTCTCCTTCTTGTTTAAATACTTCCAGACAAACTGAAGGTGAAGGCTTTTCTCCGGGTGTACACTGGTCCATGGAAGTGTCCCGCCTCTTGTTGGCTCTCAAGAAACCATCCACAGTAACAGTCACACTGAGAGAGAACCTTTCCATCTCCCTCGGGAGCACAGTGTTCTGCTAGCATAGATGTTAAGAGATGGGGTCAAGAAAAGCTGAGGTTCGCTATGAACTGAGTCAGGCTGAAAAAAATACAGTCACAAACAAAGAGGACTCTTGGTGGTGGTGGGGGGTGGTGGGGGGTGGCATGCTTCTCTTTGGAGCAAGAAGGAAGCCCAGGCCTCCCTTGTTTGGAAAAGCGGAGTGACGTTAATCCACCACCAAGAGCAAGAATCTGCTCAGTGTCCTTCATGCTTCCGTCTTGTACAGCATGATTATCAGACCAAGAAGGCACAGGCAGGGCTTGATGAGAGGCACAGGCTGTGATTTCAGGTCTCCTGGCCCATAGGCATGCTGCTGCCCCAGGAGACCAGGAGAACTGGCAGGTGATTGTCAGTCATCTTTGAGGGGCTAGGAGTGAGATGTTGGCAGACTGGAAGCACTCAAACATTTCAAGATGCAAAAAGCTTTCTTGCACTCCATCTACTAGTGAGCTTGGTGTCACCCCGAGGGACAATTCTGGACTAGATTATTCAGCAAGTAGACAGCGAACGCTCCTTAAAGAAGCAGTGAGCCCCAGAGTCAGCATGAATTCAGGCATGCCAGACTAGCCTCCCGGCCTCTTTAGAAAGGGTTGGGTGCCGAGGGCGGGAGGAGGGAAGAGAATACAGTAGACTTTCTAAAGGTGGGGTTTAGCAAGACACTTTGAGATGATCTCCCAACATGCCTGTGGGCAAGACAGAAATGTCCACAGAATATCACGGACAGTGAGAGGGGTTTGGTGATGAGATTGGGGTTGGGGGGTGAGGGAGAGGGCGGTTTGACTTAAAAGTTGTCGCAATGAGCGGACCAAAAGAGTGATGCTGTCCATCTGTCAGCCTGTCTCCCCAGCACAGCCCTGTCCCCTGTTTAATCAAAGCTTGGGCTAGGGGCAAAGATGGTGAGTTTTCAGTTTTGTCAGTAAGGTGGTGGCCAGAGGGAAATGCCCATGTGATAGATGCCAGCGTCAGGTTTCCGAAACATCCGGACTGCCCGGGACCCTAGCCAGATGGTGTGGAGTTCTCTCAGCTGCAAGTAATCCGCAGGACCCATCACGCTGGGGAAGAAGAGGTCTCAGGGTAGTCCACAGGAGAAGTCGTGGGGGAACTTGACAGAGGGTGCCTGCAAGCACGGTCCCTTTGGTCGTGTGGTAAGGTTACAAAGATGAGACAATTTGATGACAGAGTTTCATTAGAAATCCAGTATCCCAATCACTCCCTGTGTGATCTGGGCTGCTCAGGCCACCTATGGTATGTCCCTCCGAATGGGACACCCCGCAGAGCTGGTCAAGGGAGAGGGACTGTTGTTGCTAGATGCCGGCCAGTTGGTCCCGACGCATGGCGACCCGATGCGCTTTGATCGATGCTAGAGTTCAGAGCCCGTCTGTCTGCGAGACGGAACTGAAAGCTGAAACGGCAGTGCCTGGCGAAGAGAAACTACCAGTGAGGTGGGAGAGCAGCCGCAGGGATTGGGAAGGTTGCCATGAAAGACGGATGGAAGGACATCTGGGGCACTTGAAGGCCAGGGGAGGGACTCGCAGGAAGGCAGGTGTGCTCTGTAGAAGGAAGAGGGATCTGCCAGCACCACCCTCTGAGGAACTGAGACCTTGTTGGTTTTGTGGGCTTGCAGTCAGCCTCCCCAACTGTCCCCAAGCCCCGCACCCTGCCTCAGAGCACCAAGGACTGCTCAAAGAAGTCAGTAGCCCTCCCAAGGGCCATCTGGTCTTGCCCCTTCCTGAGCTCAGGGCAAGGGCCTTCCTTTGCTATGAACTACCATTAGACTCTGGGCCCAGAGCCAAGGCAAGCGAATCGATCCTGAGCCATTGCCTTGCAGGAGGAGCAGGTAGACTTACAGGAGCAGCTGACCAACCTCAATGGGTGACTGCATCGGTCACGTGTCTGTTGCACCCTTACTCCGTCACAGGTCCTGCTGGCTGCCTCGCGGACATCCCCTCCATTAGTCATAGTGGCCTGACGAGGAGAATGTTGTCACGAAATCGACACCAAAGCTTAGCCAAGGTCTCACAGGCCTGGGACCCAGGTCTCTCCCACGCCGGCACCTTTGCTCCTTAGCCGTTCTGCCTCCCAGAGCACTCTCGTCGTCCTTCCCCTGGCCCCAAGCCAGCAGGTGCTGGCCCTGCCTCCCCGGGACCCCTTCCCCCCCTAACCCCTAGTGCTCTGCCTTCTCCGCCACTAGCAACTTGGGGAGGAAACAACCCAGCTGAAAAATTAGGCCAGACCAGCGAGCACGCCACTTATTTTTTTATGACTAAGATTAAGCTGACAACCATGCAAAACACTGCAAACCTGTGTCGGCGGCAGATTTCATACCTCACCCAGCCCACACAAATAATTCATGCTTCTGCATCGATGTCCAGAAAAAACAAATCAGCAAAAAGCTGGCCCGTGCATGTATGTGTGTGTGTGTGTGTGTGTGTGTGTGTGTGTGAGTGTGTGAGAGAGAGAGAGAGAGAGCAGCCGCCGCCTTTCCAGTGAAGCAGCGTGCTGGAAATACCCAAGCTCCAGTCCTGCAGATCTAGCATTTTGCCTTTTTCTTTTTTCTCTCCTAAAAGATTAAAGTACGTTTTCAAATGATTGAAGGTTGGTGGGAGGTGTCAATGTGGGCCCTTGTCACATGAATTCTTCAGATGATTAAGTTCTTTTCCATTTCTTGAAAGCTGTTTGCAGTGGGGTTTGATGTCCTCGTTCCGGGTGAGTGTGCTGTAGCAGTTACCAAGGTGACTTTAGCTGACTTTCAACAATTTATTTTTCCCTCCAGCTCAAGACGTTGGGCTCCTGCTTCTGCTCTTCCTGGTCCCCGCCCCCCACCCCAAGTGGCTATTCATCTGCATTTGTGTCTATGCTGGAGAGCCTGGGGTCCCCCAGTGGGCAACATAGGCGCCCGAAGCCCTGCCTGGGTGGGCCAGGCCCCAGCGCCCTTGGGGAGCTCTTTGGGGTGGGGTGGGGTGGGGGGCGGTGCGCAGCAGGCCACAATGCCAGAACCGGTTGTCAGGGACAGCTCGGGAAAGTGATTGTGAGAGTCACCTCCTCTCTCTCCTGCTTCAACTCACTCTGCATGTCACCTCAGTATCCTCCTCAGTAAAGGAGGGATTAACAACAGAACCTACCCCCGGAGGAGCTAGCTAGGAGCACACAGTGAGAGACCCTGGGAACATAGCTGCCCAGCCCTGGGCTGGGCTTCTTGCATGAGTTCTCTCATTTGGACCCTGCGGACACCCTCAGGTCCCATGCTGGATGCTTGCCCATCAGATGACAGCCAGGCTAGTGCAGTGCTGCCCTGCTCAGAGCAGCTATGGTGCAAAGGAGAGAGCTGGTCACAAGTCCGTGACTCCCACTTGCCGGCCTCAGACCAGCCCGGGGCTTTGTGTGAGGAGAGCTGTCTCTTGTCCAGTCAGAAGGTGGATTAGAAACCACTTCGGAATTGCCTCTCAGGCCTGGAATCCCATGACCCTCTTGGCCATTGGTCACTATGAGTTGGAACCAACTCGACGGCAGCAAGTTCAGTTTTTTTTTGTTTTTCTTGGCCAAATTGTGTGTCTTCTCAGGTCTTGGGAAAGGCTTTGTGCGGGTGAAGCTAAAGGAAAGAGTACTTTCAGAATCCGCTCCTGAGAACCGGAGGAAGGGACTGCTGGGCAAAGAAGCAGTCTGCTCTGAGTGTGGCCAAGGAGGAGACTAGCTGGTGACAAGGACCCCATCACCTCGGGGGCATGTGTAAACCGCTGCCCCACTGGGTCTTGCGTTGTCCAGTGTCACCCTCCACCCTTCCCCGGAGGGAGGGGCTTTGATTGTTGGGTGCCACCAGCGCTAGCACTCCGCCCATCCCTGCTGTGGGGGGAGTTTGGGCCCACTCCTCAGCAGCCCACCCGTTGGGTGGCTCCTTACTGCATGAATCCTGAATAACCACAGCTGGTTACCCAGTGTGGTGATGGCCACTTGGTGAATTGTTCCGGGCCGCACAAGCTCAAACCAGGATCTGGTCTTTTGAACGGGATCAGTGGGAGACCCTCCATCCCAGGGAAGGCAGAGTCCAGGGGTTGTCAGGAGCAGCTGCTAAATCTGAAAGAGTCGATCTGTTGCAGCTCCTTCCTGCAGTGGGGCAGGTTGGGGTGGGAGCGGGGACAGCCACAGTCAGGAGGCCCTTGGGGGGGGGGGGGGGGTGTCCTGCAGGGCCAGAGCCCAGGGAGGCTCCTGGAGGTGTCAGGAATGTGTCTGCTCAGACGTTGTTGGAGGTCACAGTCAGGAGGGGGCTCTTGGAGCCAGTGTCTCCTGGGGCTCTGAGCCAGCTGTGTGCCCTCCCCCAGAAGGACTCCCGGGAACGGATCTGTAGGGGGAGCACCATCCTCAGCCCCCAAAGCTGCAGCTAGCCGGCCAAAGGTGCAAACTTCAGAGCCAGACTTATCTGGCGGCCAATCTCAGCTGCACCTACCGCCTGCGCCCCCTGGGCAGATAACTCAACCTTCCTAGTTCCATAAAGTGGGCACGGTGGGAGCATTGTGGGTACAGTGCCACCGCTGGGGGCATAGGGATGGTGGCAGCTGTGGTTCTGGCTACCCTGCATGCCTGCAGTCCCCCCTATTCAGGAGCCCCGCCTGAGAGGGGCCCAGCTTGCTCCCCTCCTGTAGTTTTCCCATGGTGCTGACCTGTCCCTGTCCCTCCCTTGGCTTCCCAGGAGCCGCAAAGACAGCCTGGAAAGTGACAGCTCCACGGCCATCGTCCCCCACGAGCTGATCCGCACCCGGCAACTTGAGAGTGTGCACCTGAAGTTCAACCAGGAGTCGGGGGCCCTCATTCCGCTCTGCCTCAGGTGAGCCCAGACGTCCCCACCACGTGCTCACCTCCAGAGGGTACAACGGAGCCTGCCCACCTGGCACCCTCCCCCAGCACCATGGGGCGCCCTCCAGGAGGCGCTGGGCCTCTATAGGCCACCTTCCAGGTGAGGTAGCACAGGTCTAGGCTGAGCAGAGCTGGGAAGAGGGAGAGGGGAGGACTCTGGGCAGCCTCTGTCCAAGAAATCCTCCCACAGACCCCCTGAGGATGGCTGAGGAGCCTCATGTCCCCAGTCATGACACAGGCCGGAGTCCAGGTGGCAGGTCACCGGCAGCACTGGGCGTTAAGGGCAGGAGTTCTGGTGGGCAGGGCTCTGTTTTCTCCCCTTACTGCACTTCCTGTGCCCAGCACCCAATACTCCAAGTCCAGTGGCAGGCCCAGCAGACTCCTTGAGGGACCAGAAAGCTGGCTCTGTCCTTTGTGCTCTGGAGAACAGTGCCAGAAACCCAGCCCTGTGGCCAGACTCCGGCTCGCGGCTCCCAGGATGCCCTGTGCTGGGCTGCAGCCACCGCCCAGCCTTCCAGCCTCTCCTCCGTCTCGGGAGCAGCAACAGGCTAAGGACCTGGAGAGAACAGTGGCAGGGAAAGAGGCCATCCCACAGTCTCGAGCATCTCCACTGTGTCTGCAGCCTGGGGAAGGAGCGTGTGTCGTGAGCAGCCTTGGCCAGCGCTCCTGGCTGGCAAGACACGGACAGCAAGGGGTCAGGGTGGACCAGCCACAGGGATCCCCGACCTTCTCTCCCATGCTGCTCCTCTGGCCCAGCTCAGGGCCGTTAGGCTGGTGAAGGGTTAATGGGAGGTGATCTGAGAGAGTGAAAAGCAGGCTTTGTTTCGATGGTCACCAGCAGGTGCTCCACCTGCTTCACCTGCCCTTCCCTCAGGTGTGTTTCCAGACTGAGGATGAACACAAACTGCTGCCTGTGGCTTCCTCAGGGTGACCCCACTTGGCTACAGCATTAAAAAAAAAAAAGTATTTTTGGCTTTGGGGCGAACCAGCTAGATGTTGGGGAAAGACCCCAGAGCAAGTGGGAGTTTCTGCCCAGAACACGGGGGTCATGCTGTGAAAGACCCTCCACCATCAGCCCCAGGCCTTGGGACTACACCCCCCACCCCGACCCCTGACCTTCAACCCCCAACACCACATACAAAGGAGTGCCCGGGCCCCTTTGCTCAGGCGTGACCTTGAGCCTCAGTCTGCTCACCAGCATCTGATTTAGGGGGATTCCTTTCCTCCGCTGTTCCCTGGGACTGGCTTTCCTCTGACCTTAGAATCCCCTGAGAGAGGCGTCTCTCTCGCTGAAGGCCTCCAAAGAAACCTGTCGGGTTGGTGTGAGTCTGGCAGGTGGGCACTCGGGGGTGGAGGCCTTGCCAGGCTCTGTCCCAGGGACCAGAGCCCTGTGGACCCAGAGCCTCAGCCAGGCCGACTGTACTGCTCGGGGATGATGTCCAGTCCTAGCCCCTCCCTGACTGTCTTCTCTCCCCAGGGGCAGACTCCTGCATGGACGGCACTTTACGTATAAAAGCATCACAGGTGACATGGCCATCACGTTTGTCTCCACGGGAGTGGAAGGTGCCTTTGCGACGGAGGAGCATCCTTACGCAGCTCACGGACCCTGGTTACAGGTGAGGAGGCGCTTCTCCCTCTCCCTACCTGCTTCTGTCCATAGGCTCGGCCCCGCCCCTCCACCCATGGCAGCTCTCGGTAGCTCCCCTTCCCAAGAGGTGTGCTTTCTGGCCTGAGGATCCCAGGGCTGTCTGTGCTGGTGAGAAGGGTGGTGCCGAGGCAGCTCCAGGAGCACCTCTGGCTCTCCCCTCCCTCGCACCACCAGGGGCATCGGTCATTTCTCCCCAGACCTGCCTGGCCTTTGCCTCCTGTGCAAATGCAGCTTGGAGGTGGGTGGGACTTGGTGTACCCAGATGAACACTTTGTCCATCATTGGCTCTTCTGGCTAGAGCACAGCTTCCAAGCAGAGGGCTGAGGCCACAGAGCCACAGGGCTCCTTCCAGTGGCACCCCACCCCGGGGCCCCTAAGGGGTCCTCGGCCTGGTCCTAGTCCTGGTCCGCCACCTGCCCAGGACAACCAACTTCTTGATCTGTTCTTGGTTGGGGGGGCAGGGGAGGGACACTTTGCCTCAGCTCTCAGGAGTGTCAAGAGAGGGAGTCTGGCCCTAACCCCAGGGTGACCTTGCCTTGCTTGAGACTGTTTTTGGTGTTTGTTGTTGTTGTTGTTCTCTGGGAATGGGGGGGAGGGGTTGCGTGCAGGGGGAGGGGAATCTTGCAGGTCTTGTGGCTGTAACTCGGTTCCAGAAGCGTGTGCATATGCTCATAACATGACATGCCTTCTGTATGTGCATGCCTCTGTGTCCGCTTATAGCAGAATGTCTCCGGCAGGCCGGCTCCCCACCCCCACCCGCCACCAAAATACTAACCCTTAATTAAAACAAACAGCAGACAAAGAACAGCAACCACACTCCCCAGACTGTGCCGAGGTAGAAATGGAAGCTAGTGCTTTAGGGATATTGTGTTCCATAAATTATCCTGCCTTTTTCCACTGTTGTTATTACATTGTTTCATAACAAAATTACTTTGAACCATAAAGTTATAAATACATTTTAAAAGTCCCACTTGGTAGCATTAGATTTCGGTCCATGTGGTGTTGGTAGTTACTGTAGCAAAAGCTCTGAAGTGTAACATTTGAAATTAGCCCAGCACAGCTGGAAAGGGCCTGGCCAGGCCCCCAGCCCTGTCCCAGGCTGCCCCTGCTGCCTTTCTGGAGGTGGGTAAGGGAGGGGAGTCTTGCTCCTGGGCAGAGCAGTAGGGAGGCGGGAGATGGGGACTGGGCAAGTGACCCCAGCCCAGGGAGTTCACAATTCAGTTCACAGGTCACCGTTCCCAGGGGACAAAGGCCAGCCTGCTGATAGCCCAGCCACTCGCCCCTCCCTCACTGTGCTGCC